GGGGGTAGGAATTAGGAACAACATGGATAGACCTTGAGGGTATTATGCTAAGTGAAACAGACGGAGAAAGACAAGTACTATATGATCTCACTCATACGTGAAATAATTAAAAATAAAACAGAAACAAACTCATGGATACAGACAACAGGTTTTTGGTTACCAGAAGAGAAGGGGTTGGGATGAGGTTGAAATTGCATGGGGACAAGTGAAAACTAGATATTTGGTGGTGAGCACACTGATACCTGTAACATGTCAAATTATACTAGACACCCAGTGCATGAAATTCATGCACTTGGGGGGCATGGTCCCTCAGCCCGGCCTGTGCCCTCTTGCAGTCTGGGAGCCCTTGGGAGATGTCTGACTGATGGCTTAGGTGTACTCCACGTGGGGAGCAGGGCTAAGCCAGCAGTCAGACATCCTTAGTGCTGCTGCGCGGTCGTGAGAGGCTCCCACCACCACTGCTGCACTTGCAGCTGTGAGCTCTGCTTCTGGTTGAGCAGTGCTGCCCCTGGTGGTCAGTGCACGTCGTAGCAACTGGTTCTTCCACCTTTCGGTCTGTTTGCATATTAGCCTTTTATTATGGTACTAGAGGCCCGGTGCATGAAATTTGTGCACGGGGGGGCGTCCCCTCTGCCCAGCCTGTACCCTCTCCAATCTGGGACCCCTTAGGGGATGTCCGACTGCCGGTTTAAGCCCAATCCCAGGGATAGGGCCTAAACTGGCAATCAGATGTCCCTCTCACAATCCTGACCGCTGGCTCCTAATCGTTCACCTGCCTGCCTGCCTGCCTGTTCGCTCCTAACTGTTCCCCACCCCCTGCCGGCCTAATCGCCCCTCACTGCCTCTGCGTACGGCCTGATTGCCCCTAACTGCCATCCCCTGCCGGCCTGCCCGTCCCTAACTACCCCCTTCCTGCCAGCCTGGTCACCCCTAACTGCCCCCCCACTTGCCGGCATGGTTGCCTCTTACTCTCTTACTGCCCCTCCCCCCGTCGGCCTGGTCGCCCCTCATGCCACCTCCTCCCCCAGCCGGGGCCTGGTCACCCCATGCAGCCTGCTTGTTCAGTCATTTGGTCGTCCCTCACTAACCCCCCAGCTGGCCTTGGTCGTAGGCAGCCATCTTGTGAGGGTGTGAGGATTAATTTGCATATTACCTCTTTATCATATAGCATGCTAGTATAGGACTAGTGGCCTGGTGCATGGATTCGTGCACATTGAAAGGAAATTAATTAGAAGAAATATTTTAATATTGCTATTCTCCCTTTCTCTATAATAGAAGTGTCAACCAAATTCACAATCGACAATGATAGATCTAAACACACGCGTGCGATTGGCGCCAGTGAGAGTTTTATATGTATCGTGCATATGCAAGTCAACTTAGCCTTTTATATATGTAGAATAAACTTGCTTAATTAGACGTGCTTTCTGATGTAGCTAAACTTTTTCCAGCCCAGTGAAGCACCCCAACTTCTCTTTCAGGTAATTGTCAACAACACAGCAGTAAATATCAATACAAAGCAGATTATTATTGTAGATCATGCAGAGAGAACAAAGGGTAAAATATTTAACTACAGCAGTGTTTGACTATATTCTGCACAGTGAGAAAACCTGAAGTCATTTTCAAGGTCCATCATTTCTTCTTTTCAGTCAGGTCAAGTTTCTAAACTTTCTAAATCTCTGTTTTCTGGCTAATGAAAATAAAATAGGATTCTATCGAGTCTCCTATCTACCTACTCCAGGACTTCTGTGAGGATCAAATGACATGAGGCATGGGAAAACGCTTCACAAATGTTTGGGTAAAGTGTAAAATGTTTGCACCTGGCTATAAAGCAAGTTGTGTTCCTGGGCTGAAGAAACTCCAAGGAGGCTAGTCACTAGGGAGAGGAAGCTGGGCGTTGCTATGTGACGTCATTACCTGGCATCCACAGCTACCGTTTCTGGGCTGGGCTGGGCTGTGAGCTGCATTTTGTGCCGTGGGGTCTTGGCAGTGTTGGCTGCAATTTGATGGGTTGTTGCTCTGGGGTGTGTCCCACTTGGGGGAAGCCGAGTGTTGCTTTGTCAACACCAGGACCACGGTGACGTTTCTTTGTAAATGGCTAGTGCGCGTCAAGGCAGCTCCTGCATTGAGCATCTGCCCCCTGGTGGTCAGTGTGCATCATAGCGACCGGTTGGGTGGACAATTAGCATATTAGCCTTTTTTATATATAGATACCTGAAACTTATAAACCAATGTTAACCTCTACTTTTTTGAAAGAGAGTGGGCAAGGAAAATTGGTCAGGGTTTTCAAGCAATTTGTTGGGAAAGATTACCTTAGACATTCAAATACCTGATTCTGGTTTCTACCAACTTCAATGTATCTGTTTGTGTCCTTGGGACTTACTTGAACTGCTTTAACCTATTTGTATAACTGTCCATTGAAGAAGCCAGAATAATGGTGGCATCCCAACTCCATTCAGCTCTAGGTTATTAAGTTTTATCATATACGTTTACTGCTCATTAATATAATTTATCTCAAAACTTAGAACACTGTGTGTATTAAATTTGTATATCTTGCTGTGTAGTTTTCTGAAATACTAGTACTTTTGTATAATTAGTTGAGTGACAGACTATTCCCACCCTCTACAACTTCTGGTATTTTCATTTACATTCGCAACATGAGGTGTTGATCAAGTTATCCAAGACATTGTTACTGTGGAGTTAGGGCTTACTTTTTGATGTTCCATATAGCGTTCAACTTTCCAGTCACTCTATCAGAGACTATATTTCAGAGGTAAACCACTTTAGAAGTAACACGTCAAAATAACAATGTTTGGGAACCTGTAGCTAATAATACCTCACCTCTAAAACTGTTAACAGAGGACTTAGAGAATATGGAGAAATTGGAACCCTTATGCACTGCTGGTGGTAATGCAAAATGGTGCAGCTACTTTGGAAAATGGTCTTTCAAAATGTTAAACAGAGAGTTAACAGAGGACCCAGCAGTTCTGCTTCTAGGTATATACCCAGGAGAAGTGAAAATGTATGTCCACACAAAAACTTGTACAAAAAAGTTCATAGCAAAATTATAATAGCAAAAGGGGGGGGGAAACAAATGTCCATCAATTGATAAATGAATAAACAGGATATGATCTATTCATACTGTGGAATAACATTCAGCTTTAAAAAGATGTCATGATATATGCTACAACATGAATGCACCTTTAAAAACACAATGCTATGTTAAAGAAGCAGTCACAAAATACCACATGTGATTTCATTCATTCATTCATTTATTGAATCCTCTTTTTTCCCATTGATTTCTAGAAAGAGTGAAAGGAAGGAACCGGGAGAGAGAGAGAAACATTGATCTGAGAGAGACACATCGATTGGTTGCCTCCTGTACTTGTCCCAGCTATTGCCGGGCATTGAACCTGCAACCAAGGTACATGCCCATGATGGGCAATTGAACCCCGTGACCCGTCAATCCATGGGCTGACGCTCTAACCACTGAGCCAAATTGGCCAGGGCCACATATGATTTTATTTATATAAAAAGTTTAGAATAGGCAAATTGAGGGACAGAAAGTAAATTAGTGGGGAACAGAGATGGGAGCGTAGAGAAGGAGAATGACTGCTTAATGACTATGGGTTTTTTAGGGGGGAGATGGATAAAATGTTTTAAATATTGATTGAGTGATGGTTGCACAACTCTGTGAATATACTAAAACCCATTGAATTATACACTTTAAATTGGTGAATTGTATGATATGCAAATTATATCTCAATAAAGCTATTCTTTTAAAAAGAAAATTAAGAAACACTAAAAAATTCAGAGCTCTGGGTTCTGACTTTTCTCTGGTCTCCAAAAGATCTGTTTTCTTTCATTGGAATTTTTTGTTGGTGGTGGTTACTCTTTTTCTTTGTTGTAACCAGAAAAGAATTGAATAGCTATTATTTTACTGTGCACTACAGGAAGGGAGATTCCTCAAGCACATACTTTTTTTTTTTTTTTTTTGCAAGAGCACCAATTAACATTAGTTTTTTTCAACCTACTACTTTAGTCTGTGAAGTTTTGTGCCTAATCTCATCTTAGGTATGGAAGTCATAGCCCAAGGGTATAGAAATTAAATTTTGCTTAGCACCTTTTAAGTGCCCAGTTTATATATGAAATTGAGACTTATGGAGGTAAAGTAACTTAATTTTTTTTATCTTCTAGAAGTAAGTAGCATTTCAAATCTATGTTTCTATGATTCAAAATGTTTCTTTCCAGTGCCTCAATTATTTCCTACTAAGAAAACAACCCTAGACTTAAAGCTTTTGGAGAAATTCTTTATTTAGATTTCCAAGGTGTAAAAAATCAACGTGGAAGGGAAAATTATAATTAGCTTGTCTTTAATAATTTTGCTGCATTAGTAGAGAAAATACTACCTCTTAGCAGCTTTAGCACCTGAGTCATTAAGCAAAGCCAAGTATTTTAAGATTTTGAATCTGTGTCTATAGCATTAAGGGCAAATAAAAATGGGCACCTCTAATCCTTGCTATATTCAGACAACTGAGGCTTCATGTTAGATGCTCTTTGTCTAATTCATCTTTCTCATATTTCTCCCTTTATAAGATAGACCAATTTAAGATAATGCATGTGTGTGACCTAAAGAACTTCCCATTCATAAGAGTTTTCCAAGAGGCAAATTTGGCATGAGTGTTAAAGCATCTGACTAGGAGCATGCGTTCACAAAAAGCCAGTCACAAAGGAATGTTTCTTTCTTGAGAGATGTAGGCTCTTCATAGACTATCCAGATGAGTGTAGTGTTTGGTTTCAGGTATCTCTACAGTAAGGACCTAATTGACTGGAGAGTATTTGTAGTTTCTTTAGTTTCTAGGAAGATACAGGGTAGGTTAGCTGAGTTAACTTTAAGCCTCCATGTATATGTTTATGATTCTTCTTAATACCTTTACCACCCCACCCTTATGGACTATTTAAGGGACTTTATTCTGATCTCACTTGTATTTTTCTTGCCACAGGATGGATAGAATGACAGAAGATGCTCTTCGCCTGAATTTATTGAAACGGAGCTTGGACCCAGCAGATGAGCGAGATGATGTCCTGGCCAAGCGACTCAAAATGGAGGGGCATGAGGCCATGGAACGTCTGAAAATGTTGGCATTGCTCAAACGGAAGGATTTGGCAAATCTTGAGGTGTCTCATGAGTTACCCACCAAACAGGATGGCAGTGGTGTCAAGGGCTATGAAGAGAAACTCAATGGGAATCTCAGGCCTCATGGAGACAATAGGATTGCTGGAAGGCCCGGCAAAGAAAACATCAATGATGAGCCTGTGGATATGAGTGCTAGACGGAGGTATGGCTTGGTTCAGCTGTCTTTAGGGATAGGGTTTTCTCATAAAATAAGCCTATGAAAATGGAATGAATTCCAGCAAGAGGAGGGTGTTTTACATCCTAACATATCTTTTTTTTTTTTTTTTTTCCCCTGGCCGGTGTGGCTCCGTTGGAGCACCTTCTCATGGACCAAAGGGTCTCAGGTTCAATTCCCAATCAGGGACATACCTAGGTTGCTGGTTAAATCTCTACTTGGGGCACTTGCAGGATCCATTTTTCTCTCTCCCACTCTCTTCCTCCCTCTCTAAAAACCAAGAAGTAAATAAAATAAAAACATTTTAAAAATTATTTTTTAAAAAGTCTCCCGCCCCCCATGTGTTTTTATTGATTTTTTTAAAAATATATTTTATTGATTTTTTACAGAGAGGAGGGAAGAGGGATAGAGAGTTAGAAACATTGATGAGAGAGAAACATCGATCAGCTGCCTCCTGCACACTCCCTACACTGGGGATGTGCCTGCAACCAAGGTAATGCCCTTGACTGGAATCGAACCTGGGACCCTTTAGTCCGCAGGCCAACTCTCTATCCACGGAGCCAAACCAGTTCGGGCTTTATTGATTTTTTTATTTTTTAGAGTGGAAGGGAGAGGGGAAGAGAGAGAAACCTTGATTGATCAGCAACCTGGGCATCTGCCCTGACTGGGAATGAAGAGATGACCTCTTGGTGCTTGGGATGGCACTCAACCAAATGAGCCACACTGGCCAGGCCTGAATGAAGACAGGGTCTGCCATATGGCTTGACCCTGAATTCCTCTCATTTCTAAATGAAACTAGGTACCTCAAAAATGTGCTTAGCATACAGAGAATCATAGTTTTAACCCTTAAGATAAAGTAGTCCCCTAACCGGGTAGCTCAGTTGGTTAGAGTGTGCCAAGGTTCGATCCCTGGTCAGTGCACATGCAAGAGACAACCAATGAATGCATAAAAATAATTGAAACAGCAAATCAACCTCTCTTTCTCTTTCTCCCTTTCTCTAAAATGAATTTTTTTAAATTTATTTATTATTTTTAAAATATATTTTATTGATTTTTTACAGAGAGGAAGGGAGAGGGATAGAGAGTTAGAAACATCGATGAGAGAGAAACACCAATCAGCTGCCTCCTGCACACCCCCCACTGGGGATGTGCCCGCAACCAAGGTACATGCCCTTAACCGGAATCGAACCTGGGACCTTTCAGTCCGCAGGCCGATGCGCTATCCACTGAGCCAAACCGGTTACGGCTAAAATTTATTTTAAAAAAAGATAAAGTCATTTCTGGATAAAGGAGGCACTACAGTGTTGATACCCCAATTAAAAGTGAATTAATACACACTTTTCTTCTAATCTGATGTCTAATTTAGGAGGAAAAAGCAGTCTTCATCCCAGGTGTTTTAGGATCTGTTTATTCTGGAGTCCCACCTTTTATTACATCAAAAAACATGGGTCCAACTTTTTTTGTGACAAATTATCTCCATGTGGTAATTCTCTACGTTCTTGTTTTATTTGTGCCACTTTTCCCAACATATGCATACACATTCGCTTGTACATGTACACTCATGCTTGTGTTCTCTTTCTTTCACGCACACATAACAACACAAGCACACATTTTTACAGGCTTTTTTTCTGGTTTCTGTCAAGGTTGAGCACTTAAAACTGTGGAGCAAACACTGAGAAGAGGTATCTAGTACTGGCTGAGGGTAGAGGCTACCTTGACAGTGAATCACAGTATAGACAAACCCTAGTTTTAAGAACATTCAGTTTGTTAGGGTTCAGAAACAGCTGGTAGGCATGAGAATTACTCTTCAGTGTTCAGTTGCCTTCCAGTTGACCTAACTTTGTCCTAGCACTGATCTGAAGCAGGATCTTTAAGCTGGACTGATGGAGAAAGAAGAAAGGAGGAATGGTTATAACCTCACCTGGATTTCTTTCTCTACGTTTTAATGTTTACTAACTAGTATTATCCCAGGTCTATCTTTTTAAGAAACACCCAAGGAGGGAACATTATTCTTGGTATAGCATTAAAAACCCTTAGCATTCTGGCTGGTGTGCTCACTTGGTTAAGCATCATCCCATGCACCAAAAGGTCACTAGTTCGATTCCTGATCAGGGCACATACCCAGGTTGTGGGTTCAATCCCCAGTCAGGGTAAGTGCAGGAGGCACCCAATCGATGTTTTTCTGCTCTCTCCCTTCCTCTCTCTGAAAAACCAAGAGAAACTTTTTAAAAAGCAACAACAAAAAACCTTAAGAAATTTCAGATAAATTTTCCAGTGGTCCTGGAAGAGAAAAAAATCCTTGGAAGCTATAGGTAGTGTCAGCAGAATATTATGAAAGTAGGTTAATCCTCAGATCCTTTGGGAAAAAAATAAAGTGAGTGAATGAGATCAGGTACCTGAGCAATCCACTTGCCCCATAATCACTCTTACCCTTCTGGAGCTAGTGACTAATTATATTTCACTGGGGAGGAAGAAGAGGACAAACGGTAGGCGGATTTTTCACATCTTAAATTGGAATTGAAAATGCATTTTTCTTAGAAACATTGTTACACATTTTGGTAAAATCTCATCAGTGGTATTGGGATTATATAATATCACAGATAAATTCTATGTTAAAAACTCAGTTTATCCTAACAACCCTACCATTGCTTTTAATTTTATTTTAGAGGGATGATCTTTTGGAACTTGATCCTCTAGAAAATGGGAATATTTTTTAATGGTCTCCAAGGAAAAAGGCTTGAGTGAACCCTCTAGAACCCCATTCTACTTGGAAAAGTGGGCCCTATTGGCCCATGTCTCTTCACCAGATAAACTGACAGCTATTTCTACTTAGCCCCAAGGTTTCTATAAGAACAAGTAAGATTAGCCCAGTTGGCATGGCTCAGTGGTTGAGCTTCAACCTATGAATCAGAAAGTCATGGTTCGATTCCCAGTCAGGGAACATGCCCGGGTTGCAGGCTCGACCCCCAGTGTGGGCAGTGCAGGAGGCAAGCAATTGATTCTCCCTCACCATTGATGCTATCTCTCTCCCTCTCCCTTCCTCTCTGAAATCAATAAAAACGTATTTTAAAAAAATAATAAGATTAAAAGCAGAAAGAAGGACGTGCTCTTGGCATCATAGCTATATCATAATTGCCTAAGTATTTTTTTTTTTTATCATTTGGCAAGTTACATCTACTATGAAGTAAGGTATATATATGAAACCAGTACTATTGCCGAAACCGGATTGGCTCAGTGGATAGAGCGTCGGCCTGCAGACTCAAGAGTCCCAGGTTCGATTCCGGTCAAGGGCATGTACCTGGGTTGCGGGCACATCCCCAGTGGGAGATGTGCAGGAGGCAGCTGATGGATGTTTCTCTCTCATCAATGTTTCTGACTCTCTATCTCTCTCCCTTCCTCTCTGTAAAAAATCAATAAAATATATTTAAAAAAAAAAAAAAAAAGGAACCAGTACTATTAATATTTTGTAATGCTAGACAGACATGGCAGTTTTCTTTCTGTTTAGTTGTTTTTACTGTGGAATTAATGATTAGGTATTTTATAGCTTCTGGGTATCTGTCAGTCTGAGTCATAGATGATGTCAGCTGTAAGTCTAGCTTTTAATAATATTTCTGTAGCCAGTAGTGTTTCACACTTAGGAACATAAAATATTGTAAATCATATATATGTTGGGGAAAGTAGCCATTTCTGTCCCTAGAAAGTTTAATACATGAGGCCAGAATCCCAGGTCTCAAAAGTTAATTAAAAATTTGAGGAATGAAATTTGACTTGAACTTTGTCTTACCTATTGTGGGTCTAGCTATTATAGGTCTGATTATTTCTGGGAATAAAATACCATTTAGGGTTGTTCTCAGGCATAACTTTTTGATAGATGCCACTCAATTGCAATCCCCATCCAGGAATGTCTCTGCTTGTGTTGTTGCTGGGGAATCCCTAGCAATAGGTAGGTGGCACTCATTTGAGCAAGGAAGAATTTAACTTAGAAATATGTGGTGTGTGTATCCAGCAGGGACCAGAATGGAAAGAGCTTCAGACTGTTGATATAATAAACATTGGGGAATCAAGTAGAAGAAGTAGAAATCTACCAGAGCTCAAAATTATTCAGCCATGTCAGTGTTAGAGATGGTGGGGAGATGAAAGAATATAAAAATGATAAAGTTGCCAAAAAAATGAATTCAACCCTAGCCGGTTTGACTCAGTGGATAGAGCATCAGCCTGGGGACTAAAAGGTCCCAGGTTTCGATTCCCGTCAAGGTAACGTATCTCGGTTGCAGGCTCCTCCCCTACCTGGGCCTTGGTCAGGACTCATGCAGGAGGCAATTGATGTGTCTCTTTCATATTGCTGTTTCTCTCTCTCTTCCCCCCTCCCTTCCACTCTCTCTAAAAATCAATGGAAAAATATCCTCAGGTGAGGATTAACTAAAAAAAAAAAAAAAAAAAAAAAAAAAATTCAAACTTTATTTAGGCCTGACCATTACTCCAGGAATTTGGGGTTAGAGAATGAAAGGTTCTTTTTTCCCCTCTAGTGGCTTCATTTTCTATAACTCCACAGTCTCAGCTTGCTATGTCTGTGACTAGTGATTACACAGGAGACTTGAATAGTTCCCAAAATAGTAATTCCTTTTTTGTTTAATGTATTTTTTATTGATTTGAGACAGAGAGAAACAGAAACACAGATTGATTGCCTCCTATATGCACCCCAACCGGATCCACAACCAGGGTATATACCCTGACCAGGAACCAAACCCGCCACCTTCAATGCTCCAACCAACTGAGCCACACCAACCAGGGCCCTAGATAGTCATTCTTGTTACTCTGTCTTCTTATTCTATTTCCTCAGCTAAATTTTGGTTGATTTTTATAACTTAGTTTACCCTGTAGAGAAATTGAATGCCTGTCCCAACCATCCAGGGTGCGTAGTTTAAAAGACACATGTTGTCAAGCCCTCAGAAATGGTAAAGAAGCTCTCAGGACTAAAGGTCTGTGTGTATTAAGAGTTTGGGTTACATGTTTAAATAAGACCTAAGAACATATTGCTTAGATTTCTGTATTCCAAAATACAGTGAAGAACTCAAGGTCTTAAGTGGTAAATGATGAATGCTATTTTTCATCATCTTAGAGAAATAAGTAGGATTCTTTTTAATTACATATATATAATAGTATTTTTAATTATATAATTAAATATATATATTTAAATATATTTTACTGATTTTTTTATAGAGAGGAAGGGAAAGGGAGAGGAATAGAGTGTTTGAAACATCGATGAGAGGAACATCAATCAGCTGCCTCCTGCACATTCCCCATTGGGGATGTGCCCGCAACCAAGGTACATGCCCTTGACTGGAATCGAACCTAGGACCCTTCAGTCCGCAGGCCGACGCTCTATCCACTGAACCAAACCGGTTAGGGCCATATATATATATATATATTTTTGTTATTATTATTATTATTATTATTATTATTGATTTTAAAGAGGAAGGGAGAGGGAGGGAGAGAGAGAAATACCAATGAAGAGAGAGAATCATTGATCAGCTGCCTCCGGTATGCCCCCCCACTGGGGATGGAGCCCAAAACCTGGGCATGTGCCCTGACCAGGAATCGAACTGTGATCTTTTAGTTCTTAGGTTGATGCTCAACCACTGAGCCATGCTGGCCAGACACAAGTAGAATTCTTTCAAGGCTAGCCCCACAAAGACCAAAACTAAAGTTGTTTAATAAATAAGCTCCAGGAGAACCATTGTGGAAGACAGATTTCAAATTCATTTCTAGACAGTTTCTTTCTGAAGAAAGATACTACGCAGAACTCTGGCAAGTAGATGCAAGTTCCATATATATTTACATCTGGAGTGTCAGTCCTCCAGAAGGCCATAGACATTATATTTGGCATTGTCCATTCCCTCAAGCCAAAGAGAACAGTACCTTCTTTTGCCTTAACTCTTGACAAGGTAAGACTATCATGGAGTTGTGATAAAACCTCCTTTCTTGTAAATCCTCAGATGGTCAGGACCATGTTACTGGTATAATGAGCTATCTCCTTAGCAACATATTAGCTGTACCTGGGGTGGGCAACTAGGCTTTACTGCCTTAAACCCTTCTTCGCCTGTCAAACCAGCCATTTTCTTCTTGCTCCTACTAATGAAACAACCCAAAGGGGAGAGAGGTATAGGGAGAGCATTTAGAATTTTACTTTACTAAGTGTGATGAGAACACTCTTATTTCCATTTCTAAAGCCCATGACTTTGTCTCTGCATCCTCTGTGAGGAATTTAGACAGGAAAAGTCCTTTTGCTGAGGTTTCATCATCACTTTCATTTGAGTGTCTTCTTTATCCTATAATTTGAGTTCTCTGTCATCCCCTGGGTGAATTGGGACAGACCTAAGGTCCCTTGAAGTTTTAAAAACTTTTCTGTGAACTTTCATTGTTGGACATACCTTAATTTTTTTCTTTTCGTGTTAGTGAGCCAGACCGAGGAAGGCTAACTCCCTCCCCAGACATCATTGTTTTATCTGATAATGAGGCTTCCAGTCCCCGTTCCAGCTCCCGAATGGAAGAAAGACTCAAAGCAGCCAACTTAGAGATGTTTAAGGTAAAAAAAAAATTTAAAAAAAGGACAGAAAAAAAGAAATGTTTTTCTTACTCCTATTCTCTCTAATTCTGTAAGTATCCCAGTTCTGTTATTTTTATAGTTATCTGTTAGGTCAAAATACCCATTGATGACACTTTATAAATGACTAGAGGCCCGGTGCATGAGATTTATGCACTGGGGGTGGGAGGTGGGGTCCCTCAGCCTGGCCTGCGCCCTCTCGCAGTCCAGGACCCCTCAGGAGATGTCTGCTGGCAGTGGGGGGTGGGCGGGGGGGGGGGGGGGGGTTGGGTAAGCGGGCAGTCAGACATCCCTTTCACAGCCCGGGATCCCTCGCTCCCTACCACCGGGAGGCTCCTGCCACTGCCTCTGTGCTCGCCAGACCCCAAGAACACAAAGATAACAATCTCATCACCACTTCTGCTACTTGTGGAAGATGAAGGTTTCAGACCTAAAAGAAGGGATCATCTTGCAGGAAGGGACTCTGGGCTACCATAGTTGACAGTCTCCATGTTTCCTTAGGGGAAGGGCATTGAGGAAAGGCAGCAGCTCATCAAGCAGCTGAGGGATGAGTTGCGATTGGAAGAAGCTCGACTAGTGCTGTTAAAGAAACTGAGACAGAGTCAGCTACAGAAAGAGAACGTGGTTCAGAAGGTAATGTGCCCTAGAAATAAGGGACTGGGGAAAGGGGGAGGGGGGGCCGGACGGGACTGGATTGAGAATGGGCTGCCCCAGGTAGATTTTTTTATGTTAGGCCTTAATAAAAAAAACTTTGATTCTCTATTCCCCCCCCCCCCCTTCATTTTCCCTCCTGGTCAGTGGGAGCTTCACACTGACAAGAATTTTTAAAGTTTAGAAGTGTATTGCCTAGCCAGTGTGGCTCAATTTGTTGAGCATTTATCTATGAACCAGTAGGTCACGGTTCAATTCCCAGTCAAGGCACATGCCTGGGTTGTGGGCTCAATCCTCAGTAGGGTTGTGCAGGAGGCAGCTGATCGATGATTCTCATCATTGATGTTTCTATATCTCTCTCCCTCTCCCTTCCTCTCTGAAATCAATAAAAATTAAAAAAAAAAAAGTTTAGAAGTGTACCAAGTTTATACCTCTTCAGCCTTTTCCAGTTGTCTCATTTTCTATTCTCTTTCCCAGACTCCAATTGTACAGAATGCAGCGTCTATTGTTCAGCCATCTCCTGCCCATGTTGGACAGCAGGGCCTATCCAAGCTTCCCTCCCGGCCTGGGGCCCAGGGGGTTGAACCTCAGAATTTAAGAACATTACAGGTATGTGACCCATAGTGGGATCTTAGTGTCAGAGGGCCATGAAATAGGTGTTATTACTACAGGCAATCCTGTTGGTCCTCTGTGGCCTGATTGAGTCTGCAGTAGGATGAATAACCCCCATCTTTCCACTCTAGTTTTTCTTCTCTAGAGAAGGTTTTCAGTTTAGCCCTTTTCCATATAGATTAGATAGCTTATACAAAAAAAAAAGGCCAGGGAATTTCTAGTGACTAATAAGGGTTTACAGTGATGGTATACTTATTCTATATTTCTACTCAGCTACGTATTATAAATAATGTTTTCCCTTTCACGTTTTGTGGGGCATTTTATCACCTATGACTAGTTCTTTTCCTTTTCTTCCCTTTCAGGGTCATAGTGTCATTCGTTCAGCAACCAATACCACCCTCCCACACATGTTGATGTCTCAGCGTGTTATTGCACCAAACCCAGCCCAGCTACAGGGTCAGCGCGGCCCGCCTAAGCCTGGCCTCGTACGCACCACAACACCCAATATAAACCCCGCCATCAATTACCAGCCGGTAAGAGAGAGCCCTATGTGGTGACACAGAAATCTTTTATTTGCTTTCCCTGTTGAAAGAACTGTAGGTTTTACGTTTTTGGACAGATAGAAATTAAGACAACAAGGAAAATTTTGATGGAACTTGGACAACTATCCCCAAAAGTGGAAGCACTGAGGGAATTACATGAAAGTAGGGGTGGAAAAAAGAAATTATACCAGTAAAGCATAATGAGCTAACATTGTCTAGAACAGGGGTCCTCAAACTTTTTAAACGGGGCCAGTTCACTGTCCCTCAGACCGTTGGAGGGCCGGACTGTAGTCTAAAAAAAAACTATGAACAAATTCCTATGCACACTGCACATATCTTATTTTGAAGTAAAAAAACAAAACGGGAACAAATACAATATTTGTATTTGCATGTGGCCCGCGGGCCGTAGTTTGAGGACCCCTGGTCTAGAAGATAGATAGAAGTCTCTAGGGAATATTTTTATTTTTCCCTTAGCAGTTTTAGCTCAGTCACTATCATTTTTCTTTCCTGTGTGCTGTAGTTTTTTTTTCAATGAAGAAATTGGACACCTCCTGCCTTTTTCTTAGTTTGGGGGAAGCTAGGTAGTCTAAACTAAGATCAAATAATGTTCTCTGCCACAAAAACAAGAATTGGTCCTTTCTCCCACATATCATCACTGACCCTGTACTAAATCTATTTCAGCAGTCAAGTTCTTCTGTTCCCTGTCAGCGCACAACATCCTCTGCCATCTATATGAATCTTGCCTCCCATATCCAGCCAGGGACCGTGAACAGAGTGTCCTCACCACTTCCTAGCCCCAGCGCCATGACTGATGCTGCCAACTCACAGGCTGCAGCCAAATTGGCTCTTCGTAAACAGCTGGAAAAGACACTCCTGGAGATTCCACCCCCTAAACCTCCTGCTCCCTTGCTTCACTTTCTGCCTAGTGCAGCTAACAGCGAGTTCATCTACATGGTAGGCTTGGAAGAAGTCGTACAAAGTGTTATCGACAGCCAAGGTAAGACTTTTTTTTCTCTAGTCAGTCTTAATCTAAGCAAGAGGTTGCCAAGCCTGGTTGACATAAGCAGAGTATCACAGGATATTGTGTAATATTAAATAACCTCTTCTACTATATATATTGTGTATTTTTTGTCTCTTGTGTATTTTTGCAGTGTATTGTTTTAAATGGTGCCTAGCATAATTCATACATAATTTGATGACTAGAACACTTATTTTGTTTTGGTGTTGAGTTGTACTTTTTTTTTTTTTTTAATTGATTTCAGAGAGGAAGGGAGAGGGAAAAAGAGATAGAAACATCAATAATGAGAGAGAATCATTGATCAGCCGCTTTTCTGCACATCCCCCCACTGGGAATTGAGCCCGAAACCAGGCATGTGCCATGACCCAGAATCAAACTGTGACCTCCTGGTTCATGGTCCACGCTCAACCACAGAGCCAGGTTGGCCAGGCTAGAACACTTACCTTTTAATGTCGGTGTTTATGGGGCATTGTGCTACGTTCTTATATTCAGTCCCTGTCATTAAGTTATTAAGCCTGAATTTCCAAACATACAAGTTTAAGGGAATACCTGACAGTAAAGTGTCTAAAGGGCTCAATATTGGCTAGGAATAGATCATAAAGTGAATCATTTAAACACTGATAACTAAAACTTATAAACACATGTGATAAAGATAAATGTAATCTGAGGTAAAGCAGTGCTAAAAAGCAAAAGTATTGGCTGAGTTAGCTGGAGTCCTTTGAATCTAAATTGGCACTTTTTGGAATGGTATAATAATAAGAAATCAGAAGACTCAGGTTCTTATGCCAGCTTTGTTATTTAGGAACTATGTTTCTTAAATTTTGTTTGCTCCTTTGTAAATGGGAATGGTACTATCTGAATTCACTAAAGTTATGCTGTTACAATCAAAGGAAATAAAGTATTTTTATAGAGTATTATTTTTGTAGAGTCTCTTTCTTAATTCAGGAAAGTAAACTCCTGGAAAAAGATTCCTTTGATGAAGAGAAACGAGATAGAGAGGAAATGTGAAACCACTGATTATTCTTCTTGTTGGCATCTAGGCAAAAGCTGTGCCTCACTTCTGCGGGTTGAACCCTTTGTTTGTGCCCAGTGCCGCACAGATTTCACCCCTCACTGGAAGCAAGAGAAGAATGGTAAGATTCTATGTGAGCAATGTATGACCTCCAACCAGAAGAAGGCTCTAAAAGCTGAACACACCAACCGGCTGAAAAACGCTTTTGTTAAAGCCCTACAACAGGAACAGGTAAGAATTCTGACTTCTCACCAGTGACTTGTCTAGGTTGGGTTGTCCCTAAAGATAATTACTTCTAATTTAGAGGAGCTATCTATGTGATCCTCACAGTCCTGGCGATTTGGTTTCTGGATTGAAGTTCCTAGAACCTAGAGGCCGTGGTTCCCTTTTTTCCTACTTAACCATTCTCTTTCCCATTTCCATTTGATTATTTCTGATTGGATAAGAGCACAGTGAGTGATATATAATGACTGAGTTTAAGGGAAAGGGACAGAAAGCTTGAGACTCTTGCCTTTCCCTAATAACACTAAAGAAATTTATTCTCAACTTTGTTTCCTCCTCAAACAAATGGATTTTAATGGGAGGGATTTGTATTTGTATTGGAAATCTCTTTGAGAGAAGTAATTATCTGCAGTCCATATTTGACGAAGAAATGACAATGGAAAGTGTAGATATAAAGTAGTCCAGTGAAGACTAGTGGGGCTAGAGTGTGTGAATACCATCTATAGTATCAACCCTTTGAGTGCCAACCAATATCCTAGGAACTATGCTAAAATTGCCAAGGCATTTTTGCTGATTTTCCTTAGGTGCCATCTGTCAATAAAGAGTGAACTACTAGCATTTAATAGTGACACTGCAGGAGGAGCGGGATAGCGCTCCCGGCACTCTAGGGGTTAATATAATGAATCTATCTTGAAGAGGGGAGGATGTGTTGGGAAACTCAGATTCTTTTCCTCTATCACATTTTCCACCCATCAGACCCTTTGGGTAACATCATGAATCTTCTGGAAAATGGTAGACAGGAGTCAAAAATAAAACCTCAATAACTCATCAGTTTTAATTATATAGGTCAGCTCATCACCACTACCCAGCCAGCTTCTGAAAGCCAGCTTTCCAGGAGAGAGGGGCCGCTTAATCAGTGAAGCATGTAGGCTACTTGTACCCTGATATCTTAGTGCACTGTACCCCACCAAACTCTATGGCCTTTTTTATATCCCTTCAACTAGCTGGCAGCAATAGAGATAAGACCTCTAGGTTTTCTGGTTAGGAAATTGGGTGCTGTCCTGCCCAATTTGACCTGATGACTCCCAACAGGAAATTGAACAGCGATTACAGCAGCAGGCAGCCCTCTCCCCCACTACGGCTCCAGCTGTGTCCAGTGTCAGTAAACAAGAGACCATAATGAGACATCATACACTTCGGCAGGTGAGGAATTATCTCGGGTTTGTCAGCTATTTATCCCAACTGGTTTTTCCTTCTGCAGAAAGTCATACTATAATCTTGCACTTTCATGTTCTTACTCCCCCACTTAAACTTTCCATATGGCAAAGTTGTGATGAACTGTCTCCTCATCGTTGCAGGCTCCACAGCCCCAAAGCAGCCTCCAGCGTGGCATACCCACATCTGCCCGTTCCATGCTTTCCAACTTTGCACAGGCACCCCAGCTGTCTGTGCCAGGGGGCCTCCTTGGTATGCCAGGTAAGAAGGGTTGATCTGAGAACTTTTCTCAGGGATTAACTAGTTAGTACACAATGCTATAGCAGCCCCTTCAGGTAAATTGTCCTTCTTTTGTTTTCTGCTCTTTCTTTAGGTCCTACTCCCTTCCCTCTTTTTTTATATGACAAATTTTTTAAATCTTCATTACTGAAAGCATTACATATGCTCCTTTTTTTTCTCCATTGACCCCCTTCACCCTAGGCCTTCACCATACTATTGTCTATATCCATGGGTTAGGCATATATGCATACAAGGTCTTTGGTTGATTATCTCCCATCCACCCACCCTTCCCCACCTTTCCTCAGAGATTTTGCACTCTGTTCCATGCTTCCATGTTTCTGGATCCACTCTGTTCTTCAGTTTATCATGCTAACTAGATTTCTACATATGAGTGAGGTCATGTGATACTTGACTTTCTCTGACTGACTTATTTCACTTAGCATGATACTCTCCAGGTCCCTCCATGCTGTCTCAAAGGGTAAGAGATTTTTCTTTTTTAGTGCTGCATAGTATTCCACTGTACCACAGCTTTTTTATCTACTTGTCTACTGATGGGTACTTGGACTGTTTCCATATCTTAGAAACATATCTTATTGTGAAATGTGCTCCTATGAACATAGGGGTGCATACATTCTTTCTGATTGGTGTTTTGGATTTCTTAGGATATATTCCTAGAAGTGGGATCACTGGGTTAAATGGCAGTTCCATATTTAAATTTTTGAGGGAACTCCATACTGTTTTCCATAATGGCCGCACCAGTCTGCATTCCCACCAGCATTGTACTACTAGGGTTCTCTTTTCTCCACATCCTCCCCAGCACTTGTCATTTGTTGATGGTAGCCATTCTGACAGGTGTGAGGTAACACCTCATTGTCATTTTAATTTGCATCTCTGATGATCAGTGGCTTTGAGCATTTTTCATATGTCTCTTAGCCACCTGTATGTCCACTTTGGAGAAGTGTCTTTTTAGGTCCTTTGCCCATTTTTTAATTGGATTGTTTCTCTTTCTTTTAAGTTGTATTACTTCCTTATATATTTTGGATATTAACCCTTATCAGATGTGTCATTGCCAAATATGTTCTCCCAAACAGTGGGCTCCCTTTTCATTTTGTTGGTTTCTTTTGCTATAGTCCCATTTTTTAATTTTCTCCTTTGTTTGCTTTGCCCTAGAACAGTGATGGCGAACCTTTTGAGCTTGGCGTGTCAGCATTTTGAAAAACCCTAACTTAACTCTGGTGCTGTGTCACATATAGAAATTTTTTGATATTTGCAACCATAGTAAAACAAAGACTTATATTTTTGATATTTTATATATTTAAATGCCATTTAACAAAAATCAACCAAAAAAATGAGTTCGCGTTTCACCTCTGACATGCGTGTCATAGGTTCACCATCACTGCCCTAGAAGATGTATCCATAAACATATTGCTATGGAGATGTCTGAGATTTGCTGCCTATGGTTTCTTCTAGGATTTTTATGGTTTCACAACTTACATTTAAGTCCTTTACCCATTTTTAGTTTATTCCTGTGTATGGTGTAAGTTGGTGGTCTAGTTTCATTTTTTTTGCATGTATCTGTTCAATTTTCCCAACGCCATTTATTGAAGAGACTGTCTTGACTCTATTGTATGCTCTTGCCTCCTTTGTCAAATATTAATGGAGCGTAATGGCTTGTGTCAATTTCTGGGGTCTGTTCTGTTCCATTGACCTATATGCCTTATATGGCAAATGTTTGCTAAATTTATATTACATGCTAAGCACAGTGTACTAGGGTTTTGGTGGTGAAACTGACAAAGTCCCTGCCATTAGAAATTTAATGTCTAATTTGCCCCCTTGGTGGGCATGTGGTTATTGATGTCTTTTGGCTAGAACTGCAGAACCAGCTGTCCTAATCCTGTTTGATCCAGGGTTGCCTTTCCATGGTCAGCAGCCCCAAACCAAAGCAGATTCGATGATTTCGTCTCTTTGTCTTGGTTATTTTCTCCTCACCACTGTTTTCTTTGACTCGCCTATATCATCAAGACGTCATGTCTATTATTCTTGAAGGATTGAAGTTTCAGGAAGACCTCTTTCCCTAAAGCTTAGAGCAAAGGGGTAGTTGCTACTGAAATAAAGTTAACTGAGTCTGGACAGAAGTAGGCAGCTTCTAATATTTTCTCCCCATCTCCAGCTCTGCAGCCCTAAGTAGCAGAAGAAGGTGTCATTTCCTTTTTAATACCTGCCCTCCACTTTTGTCTCCTGGGTCTAGGTGTCAACATTGCATACTTGAACACTGGCATCGGAGGACACAAAGCCCCCAGTTTGGCAGACCGACAGCGGGAATACCTTTTAGACATGATCCCTCCCCGGTCTATATCGCAATCCATTAGTGGACAGAAATAACGCCTGTTCCACTTGTACTGCCCCAACCTTGAATCCTTTACCCCTCTCCTCTCCCTTTGGCCCTAACTTCCGTCGCATGCAGTGCCTGTACTGGTGCCTACCATACACGGAAAACAAAACAGAAGACAAAAAATAGAAATCAGCAAGAAAACACAAGCCCTGCCCCACCACCTCCCCTTTATTTCATACTGCTGCGATCTGTTCTTCTGCCGCTCTGTCTTCTCTCTTCAGTTTTCTTATAACAGTGAGGTGAATATTCACCTCTGGTAGAAGTGAGAATGAGGTCCTGGGGAGAAATTTAAGCCCTCTGACGTGTGTTTCTAAAGTTTGTTTTTATGCTATAATGATAATTACTATTTTTAATGATGTTGTGTGTCCTCCCTTTGTTCAGTGGACGGTTAAACCTTTTTTATTCCCCCAATATTTTTTTTTCTCTCTTTTTTTTTTTTGTCCTTTTTCCCCCCCCTTTTCTTTTTCTTTTTCTTTTTTTTTTTTTTTAATAAACACAAATGACATTCAGTTAAATAGTAGGCGCATTGCAGTAGGGTCCCAGCTGCCAGGTAGAGCATGGCCAGGAGTATTAGGGCAGAGTCTTATGCACTTAACCAGGGGAGATGGTGGCATCAACCAAGGAGAAACCGCACATCCACTGTGGAGTCTCTGGATTGGACAGTTCGGGAGGCAGCGTTAGTATTTAAGTCGGGCTCTAAGCACGAGGGGGAAGAGCCTGGAGGGAGAAGCTTTAAAACTTAACCACCCTACAGTTGGCTCAGAGAAGGGGGAGAAGGGAGCATGATGATGAGCATAATGTTGAGCCAAGGAAGACTGATGCCAGGTCCTAGCCACCTGGATGCTGGGGATAAGATTGGTCTCCTGAGCTTAGTGGAGTCGTGGAAGTCTATTCCAGGCCAACTAGCCCAAAATAATAATTTCATCTTATTTTCTTATAAAAATTGTCCTTATCCCCCACTTTTTTTATCCTAGTAACCACAGCCCCATTTGTACTATAGGGGAATGGCTGTTCCCAGCCTGAGTTTATTGGGTGACCTAGAGTTGGGATGGGCATGAAATGATAAAGGGAGGAAATAGACTTAGAGGAAGGAAGAAGGGCTTTCTCTCCTGACAGTTGAGGTTCACATTTGTCTGTCTTCACCCTCTGAGTGCCAGGAGGTGAGGGTGAGGGCACCTAATCAAGTTGGAGTCTTGCCCTGACCCTGCTGCATTGACTGCAGAGCCAACTGCTCAGAACCAGACCATTCATGTCCAAACCAGCTTTAGGCCTCTGCTAGAAAATTAATTGTTGCCACCCACCCCCCCGAATTCTATTCATTGTGCCCCGCCCCCTTCCTTAAGTGCTACTAATGTAGAAAATGAATTTAATTGTGCAATGTTGCTGTTCTGGGGATTGGGGAGATTAGTATCCCATTTATTTATACGGTGGGGACCCAGCTGTTTTTGAGGTAAGAGAAGTCCCATAAAAGCGGGGTTTCTGCTCTCACAGTGTACACCCACCTGCCTCTCCAGCTCTAAAAGCTACCACAGTGCTGGAAAGGGATACTCTCAGCAGAGAGGTGTGAAGAGTTGTTTAACATTTTGCCCTTGAAAGCCACCTGGGGAAGTTCCCCCACTTTTATTTTTTAAAATTAAATAATTTTTTTAAAATAAGAAGGCACTTTTAAAATTAACACACACACAAACTGCACATCTTCCCTATAAAGTTTGGGGATGGGATGGGAGAAGGAGCTAGAATTAGGCTCAGTTCTCCCCACTCTGGCCTCTATTCCCCATACTCCAGAGCCACTGTGGGTGATTATACTGGCCCTACAAGGCCTTCCTGGCTTTTTTCTTTCCTCCCTCCCCCCAAATTCATTGAGCACTTAATAAAGGAGCAGAGCTACAGCCGATGTCTGTGCTCCCCCAGTGGTGAAATGATCTGGAAGCTAGACACTAGTAACAGGTAGTGATGGGGTTGTTTCAAGTATTTTTCTGGGGAATGTGTTACCCCAACTGTAAGTGGTGGGAGGGGGGTGTTAATGGAACTGGGTGTGGTATTATTTTAAAATTATATATATATATATATAAAGATATATTCTTACATCTCTTCTTTGCCCTCTGTGCTTTGAAAGCACTGGATAAATCGTTTGGTTTTGCTTTTCTGTCTTCCATGAAATTGGAAGCTTTTTTTAAAAAAAAATATTTTCCCTACAAGTCATCTTGCCTTGTGGCATGTCTGTCTAGCCCCTCCCCCGCCCCCCATGATGAAGTGCCATTTCTGTTATGTCTCCCCTCCCCCAGCTCAGAGGTGCTCAGAGGTACGAGGTGCCCAAGTTTGTCAGTTGAGATTAAAAATAAGAAACAGAGAATGTGCAATATCGTTTGGCATGGGTCTGTCCCTGCCCTGAACTGAGCCCCTTCCCTGGGAGCCAGGCCACCTTTGGATGGTGTTTGGAAGTAAGATGTGTAGAGAAAGGGGGACGATGGGGAAGGAAAACCTATAGTTGAGTGCCTGCCAAGGTGCTGAGGCAATGGGAGAGAGGGTGGAGTCTTTCCTGTTTTTATCCCCTCAGGGTCAGTTACATAGAGGCTGCTTATTCACTAGTAAAGCTCCATGACCCTTTGCTCAATCGCTGAGGTTTGATTTCTTACCCTCTCTTCTCATTTTCATATCCTTCCCAGGGATTAGTGATGGGGGTAAGGATTCCCTAAATCATGGTAAAGTATTAGCCTTCCACCTCCGTCCTTCCCTCCCCCCCCCCTGTCTTCCTCATTTCTCTACTTTTTCATCACTGATTGCCTTGAGTCCCTCCAAGCCTATTGTTGCTGTTCATCATCCGCAGGCCTTGGGCCCCATAGACACTAAGCTAAAGATAGGAGGAAAGACCCTCTATTCAGAGTTATCCTTTACCCCTGGAGCTCTGAAGCTCAGGGTAATATAGTGAGGATCCCACTAGTTCTGCCTGGCTTTCTCCAACCCCAAAGCCTCTAAAAGTCGTAGTTTATTGATGGTGGCTTACTCCCTAGAAGCCGGAAACGGGTGGATGAGTGGTAAGGCTTGGGTAAAGCTGAGGGACTGAGGTCCTTATTTGTCTCTCTTTTATTTTTCTTTTCTTTTCTTTTTTTTTCTTTTTTCTTTTTTCACTTGACCACAGCATCTGGACTTCCTTCATCCCTGGAATAAGTATTTTTTTCCACATTTTTGTATGTATGTATGGTAGACATATTTTTTTTAAAACAGAGATGTGTTCCTGCTTTGGTTATCTTTCCTTTCCCCTTTAAAAATAATTAGCTATAGAACTGCTTTGTAAAGATGCTTCTTGATATTTTACTTTTGTTCCTTTCCCCCCTCCACTCCCTTTTCTCCCCATTCCTCCAGAAGGCATAACCCTTCTCTCCACCCCACCCCCACCCCAGTCCTAGGCTCCCTTCCCCTCCAACAAAACCTTCATTAGCTTATGATATTTGCTGCCGAGATGTTATAACAAGGACTCATTCGTGTATATAAGCTATTTCTTGATTCATTTAAAAGGAATTGTACATTGTGTAGAAAAAAAAAAGCTGAAAAAGAGAAAAAAAAGCCCTAGCCATGGATATTGTGAAACCGTGTTATGTCATTTTGTAATGTGCCCGTTTGTGTATGATCCGTGCAAAAGGGTTTCTGGGGCAGGGGAGGAGGGAGGGGGCAGGGCTGGGGAGAGCGGTCGGAGAGTGGGCCGGGCCCAGCACACAGACTGGCAGCTGCTCCCACCCCGTCCCTCCTCAGAGAAGCCCCCCCCACCACCCACCCCGCATTTGTGCCTTGCCTCCCCACCCTGGAGCATTCCCTCCGGGTCACCAGCACTGCCTCGCAGAGCCCACTCCCTACCCTAACCTGCCCGCCCTCTCTACCCCCCAGCATTAGGGTGACACTGTGGGGAAGTGCTGGGGTTGGAAGGTAGCTGAGGAATGGGGCAGTTCCTGGGGGCATTGAAACCAAGTATTATGAATTGTAATTGTATTTGCACTGTTTTTTTCCCCCCTCTTACTGCATCAGCATATATACAATATACCTATATAACAAAATTTAGTGTCAAGCTTTCTTATGCAAGGGATTTCCCCTACCTCACCCCCCCCCCCCAAAAAAAAGAATCTAGTTTCATGGGCCTTTGATGGGGGGGATTGCCAGGGGACGATAGAAAGGACTTTAACAAGTCATCCTAAGAAAGTCTCACCTAGGGAAAGCCCTATCCATCTTTGTAAATTGGGGTGCGGCTGGGCTTCTATGAAAGCTAAGGCCCCTAGTCCAGACGTGAGAGTGAAGAGAACCACAACACAAAGTGGGGTGTGGTGGTGGCACAGTCGAAGACCTGGGGTCTAGTCCCAAATTGTCCTACTGATTGTTACGGTAGAATTAATGTTCTGGGCCTCAGTTTTCTTGTTTGTGAAATTACAGTGGAAATCACCTTGCCACCAAGTTAATGCTATGCTTCTTTCTCCAGCCTGCGAACAGCTTGAGGTGAGGAGAACGTTGGGCTGAAAACCAGGGAGAAAGTCAGAGTAACTATGCTAAAGTGGTTATATGTGTGACAGGGCCCTGGGAGAGCTGCCAGGTTTCTGCTGTGGCTTGGTTTGGGAAAGGCAGCAGAGTGGTGTCTAGGACATCAGTAAACCTGTGACATCCTTGCCCTATGCCTCTAGTCATTTGAGGGTATGGACCAGGCCTCAGGCCGAACCTCACAAGCAGCCACAGGATCCTTAAGGGTGGGGCTGACCAGTGAATGCCCCAGGTTAGTGGTCTCGTGACTTACACCCTTTTTGAGCTACTGGTTGTGAAATGTCCCATCATCTTGGTGACACAGTAGGAGAGCTCCAACACAGTCCCCATCTTGTCTCCTTCCCTCATATCTCATCTGAACCCCCTAAAGACAGCTCTCACACAGCCTTCTCTTTCAGGGGCCCAACTTCCCCACAGCCTGGGCTGAGTACTCCACACACACGTTAGGTTCTTGGCTGGTAAAGCCTGGAGAGGACGATGGATGAGGCCCTGATGAAGGTGGAAGGATAGACCGGGGTGGAGGGTGGGGAGCAGGGAGGTGGGATGGGGAATGGCCTTCTCTGAATGGTGGGGTGGGTGGGAGGGGACAAGACCCTTTTGCACAACCCTCTTTTAAGTTTCCTTTTTTTTTTTTAACGCATTCTAATTTTCTGCATTGTGTTTGGGAATTAAAGTGAAAAAAACTAAGACCAATAGAAACTGGGTTTCAAAAAGGCAAATACACTCCCATCTGTTTCAGATGCTGCTGAGCATTTCAGTAGTGACAGATTCAAATAATAAGCTAATTTTTGGAGAAAGGATTAAAAGAAAAAAAACTTTGTAATATTTATCACTTGCAAGCTATGTTTAATAAAGAAAGGAATGGTTTCTAAACTTTCCTGTGGCTTGTGCTTTAGTCATGGTGGGCAGTTGGGAGAATTTAGGGGTATTTGGAAGATGGGCTCTGGGTTGTACTCCCTACAGTCATGGGGTACCTTTGGTTTGTACCCTCCAGTTGTGATGATTACTTAAAGCTCTGACCTACATCTGTGTTCATATTCCCCTCCATCTTTAAATGGAGCCAGTGTTCCAGAAGCCACTGACCCCACTTTAGTTACCTGATGACTTAAGGTCTAAAGGGTATCTGGAAGGAGGTAGCATTTAACCCAAAGTCTGGGTCTCCATTCTGTCCTAGGGAGAGGAGTTTCCTAGCCCTCCTCAGCCCTTCCCTTCGTACTACTCTGGTCTCTAGTGACTGAATTCTTTGTAACATGCTGGTTTCTCCAGGTGGGGACCTTATACCAGCAGCTCACACTGCTCTTAGCAAACTGCAGAATCATTCCTTAATCTATATATATGCACCATCCCCTGAAACACCTGGAATGCTCTGTGTGCCACCTTAATTAACCCACTCCCCCATGTTTTCCTTTCAATTCATTCATTCACCAGTCACCCAGAGTAAACAAATGCACACGGCTGGGGTGTGGCCTGAACCAGTTAAAACTGCTGCAGAGCGCTGGCTGGTGTGCTCAGTGGTTAGAGCATTGGCCCGCACATTCTAGGGTCTCTGGTTCCATTCCAGGTCAAAGGCACATACCTGGGTTGCAGATTCACTCCTGCCCTGGGTTGAGGTGATGCAGAAGGCAACCAGTAGATGTGGCTCTCTCACATCGATGTTTCCCTCTCTCTTCCCCTCTTTCCCTCCCTTCCACTCTCTGAAAAAGCAATGGCAAAAATATCCTCAGGAGAGTATTAACAAAAAACAAAAACTGCAGAAAGTCAGGCCACGTGACATCAGAACCAATTACTACGCCCAGTATGGTGTGATAAACATGCTAACCATTGTTTACAAGCCCTGACTCTTAAATATGTAGACTGTATTTGTAGATATATAATACTTATTGTCAGTGAAGTTACTATAGTGTTTTCTCTAACATATGGCCTGTTCACTAAAATTTGTTTAAAATAATAGTGAATTAATAACAAAAAAATAATCTGTTAATTTAATTTTAAGCAAATCTTGGGTTAAAAGCATTTAAAAATGAATAGAGTGCTAACTTTTACATATGATACACGAATAAGAAATTTTGTTCATTAAGTCCGAAATCTGTTAAATCGAGGTCCACAAAAATCAAAGGTCTACTGTACACTATTTGGGCCTATACTGCATCTGTTGTTTTAAGCCACTCTCTCCCATTCTATTAGGTTATTTAACAAGTCATCACTGGGGTACCATGGCCAGAAGCTGTTCTCACACTGGGAGTATGGCTGTGACAGCAAAGGAATAATAAGCCTTTCTTTTCCTTTATCCTTTTACCTTCATATTTTTTTTTACCTTCCTTTTCTTGTACTTGTCTCTGCGCCCTCCCATCCCACTCCCCTGCAGGTTTTCAAAATAATTCCTCACCCAGTCCTGTCCCAGTGGACCCCCAAACCACTGGACAGAAACAAAGCCAATATCTCAATCTGTTACCTTCACTTTTGTTTTTTTTTTACTTTGTATTTTATGAGACTTTGTAACATATCTTTAATCCTTTCATATATGTCCTTTATCAAGAACTTTTCATATAAAATGTTGTGCCTCACCCTATCTGGTTTGGCTCAGTGGATAGAGCATTGGCCTGCGGACTGAAAGGTCCTGGATTCGATTCTGGTCAAGGGCACATGCCCAGGTTGGGGGCTTGATCCCCAGTGGGAGGGCGTGCAGGAGGCAGCTGATCAATGATTCTCATCATTAACGTTTCTCTCTCTCCCTCTCCATTCCTCTTTCATTAAAATAATAATAATAATAAATGTGTCGGTATTTCATTCATTCATCCATCCATTCATTCATTCCTAGTTGGGGCTAGACCCTCCTCAGTTTGCCTCTTTTATAAGCTCTAGTTCAGCCCTGGGCTGTCCTGGAATGTCCTGGCCTTGACCAAGGAGGCTGTGTTCTGCGTGGTCAGACTGTTCAGTGGGATAGAACCTGGACCATATGACAATTTGTCTACCACTGGCTGAACCCCTCCTCATTCCCCGGCGTTGTACTGTGAGCCCACCCGCACACCTTGTCTCACTTCATCTTCACTAAAGCCTATGAGGCAACTGCTTTAATTTCTCCAGATTGCAGATGAGAAAACCACGTGTCAGAGAGGTTGAGTAATGTCAGAGGTGTCCAATGTCAGAGGGACTGGCAGAAATGGGCCTCAAACCTGGGTCTTGGAGGTACTAGCCAGGTGACAGCATACCCCTCCTGCCACTGTTCGAACCTTGAGTCTGGGAGATCCTGTCTCCCTGTGCCTCCCATGGGAAGGCACACCCCAGGGAGTGCTTTAGGAGGGAATGGTCAGGGCGTTGGTCCCAGCTCCTGTCCCTGAAAAAGAGCCTGCACTGACCCCAGCTCCTTTCTCAACGTTTAGGGAACCCGCGAACCCTCTGTTACTGGTTGATCCTCTGTTCCCAGCAGAGCCTGCTGCTCCTCCTCACCTGCCTGAGACACTGGCCATTCATTCCCCTGCCTCCATGGGCAGCAGGATGGCGGACCATGCCTGCCTGATACCCTGGCATTTGACCAGGAGCACTGAGTATCATGGAAGCCCTCCTGCCCCAGGTGGCTGATTGGGGATGAGAAGTGGGAGGCCAGAGGAACCACACCGGGACCCCCTCTGCTCTCAGGGAGGAGCCTCTGAGCCCCACTCTCTGCTTTCAGTTTGTAAGTTGGTTCCAAATTAGACACACAACAGCTCCCTCTCTTCCCCTTTCAGTCTTCAGTCTAAGTTACACATCTTTTGGCCCTGGCTCGTGTTCCATTCCCAGTCAGAGTACGTGCCCAGGTTTTGGGCTCCATCCCCAGTAGGGGGCATTCCTCTCACTGTCTCTAAAATCAATAAAGACACATTTTTAAATAAAACTGAGGCAGATGTATTATTTCTGGAAGGTCTCACAATGACTTTTTAAAAAAAATAATAAAAGTTATACATCCTTTGATGAAATTTTGTCACTGCCAAAGCACCCTGGCTCTTTCCCAAGGTTCCTTGTTATCTCTACTATGGAGCCCCCTAGTGGACGGTTCAGGCGCTACTCCCCTCAGCCACCTGCAGCTCCCCCTTCAGGCTGAGGGGTCCATCACGCTGGCTCCTGCTTGGTACCAGCTTCTCCGAGGCTCTGCTGTGAGCCTTGCTTTGGGCATAAAACCCTCCCACTCCACGAGGCCTGTATTTGGGGTCACCCTGGACATTTAATCTCAGTTACAAGCTATTGTTATCCGAACCCCAAGGAGGAAACATGCAAGCACACAGGTACAAACAGGCATGCGCGTGCACACACAGAACTGCACCCAGGCATCCGCTCCGAGCCAAGACAGGCTGACTCTGAGCCCATGTTCCCCCCCCCCCCCCAAATCCATCAAGGGTTCCCACTTCCTCTGATCTAGTCCCAACTCCTTCCCACAGTGGGCCTGGCCTACATCGACTCTGTTACCCCAGATCCAGCCACTCTCTTCTCATCCTTGTGCTTTTGCACAAGGAAATGTCAGGAATGCCACCCTCTCCACCTTCCTGACCTGGCTGCTCACTCCTCAACCTCCCTAACCTCTCCACCTTCCTCACTCTTCAACCTTCCT